ACCCGACGTAAATAAAACGAAATTCTCACAATTGCAATGAAATGAAATACAATTTAGATGTCATTATATAAAATAACATCTATGTTATCATCTATTTTCACATATGTTATGTTATAGCGGAGCTCTCGCGCGCGAAGTGCGCAGCGGAGCACCATGGGTAACAAAATGTGGTAAACTACCCATCCGAGAAAATTTGACCGTACACCCACCGCCCGCCCTCCCGACCGTCCGTCCGCACCACAGGCATACCAACACAAAATTTCGGGTAGTCTGTGGTGAGGGTTTTTTGGCGCAAAAACGAATGGCAACCCGGGTTTTGTGAAGCATAAACAACTTAGAAGTTAAGGAAAGTCAACTCAAAACAAAAAGAAATTTTTCGTGTCGGTTGACATTTTTTATACATCCGTATTTTCTACATTATTTATTTATTATGCCCTCTAGTTTGGAGTATAGAGATAAAGAGAGGCAGAGAAAACGAGAAAGTAGGCGGCAAGCAAGCCAAGCTCAACGAGAGAGAGAGCGGTTGAGAGCTAGAGAAAGGAGGCGAAACTGCTCTGACGAGCAACGGGAGAGGGAGCAAGAAAGAAACAGAGAAAGGAGGCGCAATTTTACTTATGAGCAACGGGAGAGAACATGAAAGGGATGGAGTCGAGAAAGGAGGAAACATTTTACTGAGGAGCAATGCGAGAGAGAGCAAGAGAGAAACAGAGAAAGGAGGCAAAATTTTACTGACGAACAACGGGGAAAAGCGCAAGAAAGAGAAAGGGAAAGGCGACAAAATTTCACTGAAGAGCAACTGGAGAATGAACGAGAGAGAGCAAGAGAAAATAGACGCCTAATAAGCGACGAGCGGTAAGAAGGAGCGAGAGACAGCAAGGGAAAACAGGCGTCAGATAAACGAAAACGAACGAGAAGGAGGAGAAGGTGAGCGAATTTTTGCCGAGGTTTGCTTTCTGTTATAAGAATCGGGGATTTTACGAAAACAGAGGTAGCTTTTGTTTTGTTTGTTAATCAATAACCTCTTTGTAATTGCATCAGTTTTTTTGGACCAATCACCACACGTCATTTGTTGTCACGCAGTCTAGAGTTGATACTTTTATCATCCATTGAAGTTGACCTGTGTCCTCCAAGTTCGTTGAAGAGAAACGATATGATTGAAATTTCACTTTAACAAGACAGTCGCGTCCAAGATAAAATTATAGAGTAACCTTATAATTCGTGCTCCTCGGTGTATTTTCGTTGTTTCTGGCGCGGAAAATAAGGTAATCTTAAATTGTATTAACGAAATTTTATCGAAAATTATAACCATTGCCATGTGTCCGATGCATAGCTGAATGAATGATAACTCCTTATGTAAATTTTAGGCGACTCTGGCCTCTGTGACAAGTTAAAATGATACAGTGTTAGAGGATTGTAAATTATACGGTCTGTGAAAGCGTTGTTATGTTTTCTGAAAAGAGAGCAGAGAGCACCTTGAATTTGAAGATTTTCAATGTCTGTTGAAAGAGCGTTTTGGTGCAGATTGTTCGAGCTTACCTCTATTTGTTTTATTCGGGAGAGTTGAAAAAACTGACCCCCACTCCGCGGACTACCCACTGACCCCACTCCGCGGACTACTCCGCGAACTACTCTACGGACTAGTCCGCGGACTACCATGCGGACTACCCTAAATAATCAACCAAATTTACTTTCACGGAGAAAAGAGTTAGAAGAAGCGTACCTGCCTACAAGATCACACTTGATAAACAGCCGCCATCTTGATTTTCGCCATTTTACTCGACCCAGCCCTTCTTCTTCATTGCTACGTCCATTGCAGCTTCCGTTCTTGGATCGTCACGCAACGCTTCTCTCCAAACCTCGCGTGACGATTCAAATAACGACTGCGTGCCCTACGTAGGAGAATACGTCTCCAAGGGCCTTCTGGGCCAGGTGAATCCAAAAATATGGTGACTTCCAAGCACAGCTATAAGTAAGTTCTTAAAAACATTTTTAAGCTGAATATAACAAAAACTGTTACCAGCGCCAATAGTGGTCATCGATTGGCTGATCTATATGAAATATAAACTATCAGTGGCTGGCATGACGTCAATGATGTCTTTCATTGATTATGCTGGCGAGAAGTATGCAAGCAGACCCACGGATCAACCTTCAACACTCTTTTATTTTTTTTTAAATTTTAAAGGCATTTATGACTAAAACTATTTAATGGAAAATGAAACTTATAGGACAAGTCACAAGATGTTGCTTAACTCATGGCTTCAACCTTGAATCTTGAACTGTCTTCTATGTATACGTTGTAGTTCAATTTTATCTTTGGTTCAATTTTCAATTTCCTTTGTTTAAAATTCATTATCATATATTAACATAGAAAAGAACAATGGAAAATAAAAATTGAACCAAGGATAAAATTGAACCACAACATATACATGCTAACACTTACTCGTTTGTCACATTACATTTTTGTGATGCGATGTTTTGAAATAATAACAACAATTATAAATAGCACGGTTTTCAATTGAGTGTCATTAATTTGCGTTAACTTTAGTTTTGCACTACTTTTTTGTGATTGGTTAGGAAAAGTTCCTGGTACTTTCGTAACCAATCCGCAGAAAAAAAAACATCATTTGCAATCGTGACTTGCTCTCGTGTTTTTCACGTTTGACAACATTTACATATATTTATTTTCCTTCTCAGTTTTGATTGGCTCATTGTGCTCTCTGCATCTGTTGATTAGCCAGAGTGGTAACTTTAGTTTTGGCTTTATGACACTCATTTGAAACTGTTCTAATTATGTTTAATTTGGTTTAATGCTTACATTTCACATTTTCATGTGCACAAGGAGAAGCTACATTATTTTAGACTCAACGTTGCACATTTCGTGTAACCGAATGTGGTAAACAGGAACAGTCAACTACAACAACTGGAACTATACATTGAAAACCTCATCAGTTTCAGAAACACCACGAAAACTACATAGCCAGAAATTCCGACTCAAAATCACATTACACTCCTTGTCCAGCCCTAGTTTTCAATTGAACGTTGACATTTTTGACGGCAGGGTTATTTTGCCAAACACCAAACGCCAAATGTACACAAAGTCTTATAATTGTCGGATGTCTGTCCTAACAAACACCGCAAGTTGACCGTCTTTGGGCTAACCAGAGTGTTAAAAAAGCTAACCAGAGTACTAAATAGGCTAACCTTATACATGTAAATAGGTTTTTAACCCCAAATACGGTCAAATACTACATTCTGCATTTGGCGTTTGGCGTCGGCAAAATACCCCTGCCGCATTTTTGAGATTTCGTTCTGAAAATTGGGGGTCCTGTGACATCCCAAAACGCATTGCGCGACGAGAGTACACGAGAAACAGTCGCCATGTTTGTGTATTTCAGACTGTATTTGCGTAGGAAAATTCATCATCGTGTCGATATATTTCTTTGGCGGGAATCAGCGAATCGACAGTATGCAAGCACACCTGTCGTGAGTATTAGACTACACATGAGTTCATCAGCAAAGTATTTATGATCGTGTCATTTTTAACAGCGAATTCCAAACTAAGATGTCAGCTGAGATTATCGTAAACATATTTTCAAAAAAACCTCACAGGAGGATGTTTAAGTCTAATATTTTGAAAATTAGACGATATAGTTTGCTGTGGTGTAAATCATTATTTAGCTAGTTGTCTGTTTACAAATCTTCCCGTAAAGATCTCTACAATGTGGGCAGCGATTTCCCTTAGCTGTCACTGACAGTTAAATGAACATGTACTGGTACGGGATTTGAAATTTCTGCCTATGAGCTTAAATCGTAATCAAACCTAGCGCTAACCAGTTGTTGTAATCCTTCAGACACAACAAGACTGGCTTTGATATTCACGCTCGACTCCTTTCCTGACATCTTAGTACAAACGGGATTCAGGTGGTAGTGTCTGGTTGAAGTCGTCAATTGCCACCGGTTTGTTGCTTTGTTCCAAAAGTGATAGGCTTCGAATCTGGCAAAACAACACCGTTGATCATCTGCATCCTGGTAGCCAACAACAGCAGACGTGATTGATTTAAGACAGCCAGCACACTTTCTGATGTTTGCTGTTATCTCTTTCAGCACTAGTGGTGCACTAGATGGCGGGTCAACAGGCCTGGCTGATTTCCTGATAAGAAGGGTTGTTGGATTCAAAACCTCCGCTTGCAAATGAGATCCAGGTGCTGTGTCTTCTACCTTTGTACTTGATTCCATAACGACATCATCCAGCGGACGCTTCCGGGATGGAGCCTTTGCTCCCACATTTTTCGGGGCGGTTGCGGTGGTTATCTTGTTTAAGCTTCGGCCTTTGTATGCGTGGACTACCTTTTGGACACAACCACGATGAATGGCAACAGCCAGGGAATGAAAGCACAGGTTGTTTCTACTGAAGAAATTGCAACCACAAGAACATTTGCCACTCTTCAAGCATTGTACGCGATGTGCCAGAGGTCCCTCACTGTCTACAAAGAATACTCCTTCCTGGAAACCCTCCCGAAATTTGGCATTGTACAGGATACTCTTCGCCTTCTCAAGTAGACTCGCCGGTTCCTCTCTGGAGAACTCACCATCAAGTTGAGCAAGGTCACTGATGTCGCAAGACATCTGATTTGATGAGCTCTCAGCTGAAGTGGCTGTAGCAGTTTCGAACTTGAATGAGCGACACCGCTTGTAAGCCGCTGGGTCTGGACACACCTTTTCAACTTTCCGCATGAAAGCCTTCCTTTGTTCAGGTGTCATTTCTCCATGGCTTTTTCCTGATAAATGCTGCTGAAACTGTGGGCAAATTTCCCATTTATCAGATAACTGAAACCAGGCAAGCTCTTATTCCTGATCAAAGGATTCTACGAAATCGTATAAAGTGACAATGAATTTGTCCATATCTTCAGGGACGAAATTTGCCCAATCTTTTAACAGGTCATTAATTGACTCTGGAATGTTTTGCTGGTAAGGCTTGTCTCCTAAGCCAAGGTTTTTCATCACGTACTTTGACATCCTTGTCTGCTCTTAAAGTACTCTGCAAACATTGGTGGACCACCCTTCTCTGACCTCTCCAAAGTCTCCCATTCCTTCATAAGAACTGCTGCCCGTGCATCAAACTGCTCCCTCGAGCTGGACCAAATAAGACCACTCCCTTGTCGGTAGAGATCTTGACATATGCGTTCAACTAGTGCTGATGACAGGCCCAGTTTTCTTCCCTTGGCCTTGACATTTCTTTCACTATGGATGTAACACAGCAAAGGAGCAGCATGCTGAAAGCCGGCAGCAAGGGCATTTTTCAAAGCACACTCGTCATCCGTTCCAGTGGCATGGAGGTGTTGAGATAAGCCTGGAATCTCACGATTGAGACAGTGGATGAAGGAGAGATAGGTTGATTCCTCTTTGGTCATGCAAATCATGACTGGGCCAATACAAGAAGGGTGACGATTTGTTCCTTTCACTTGGAGAACAGTGTTTCTGTAACTTGTCACAAGCAAGTAGAAGGGGCCAAGTTGAAATGTGAGGTCAACACCAAGCTCAGAGACTTGATTGGATCTTTTGTGGCAGCAAAACTTGACTATATTGTTTAGCTGACGATCAGTAAACAGCATTACAGTTGGTAGGTCGTTACAAACGATTTCACGTATAAAACCACGAAATGTGGTTTTCTGTAGTTCCATTACAGATGCAAGTGGGTCCGTGTTAGCTGGTCCTGGCTCTTGCTGTTTCTTCTTAATGTACTTGACTTGATTCTCATTACGGGGCAGTGTGCCCGTACTATCAACACCACAGACACCACCAGCCTCCTTTCTTACTTGAAATAAAGCTCTCTTTGGCCCATACTGCTGTGCCTTTTCTGCAATCGACCGCTTTGTGCTCGTTTTAGTTCGTAGATATGGCATGTTTGAAGATGTACGGTTGCCATGCTTTTCAACTTTGAACTTTGTAGGCTTGCCGTCGTAGTGGTAGTGGAGAAGTACAAGTGGGAACCACTTGTCTATGTCCTTTGAAAATTCAATAGACACAATGGTTCTATGGTACAATGGGTATGAGGAACATGTGTACGATCTTCTTCGCACAACAACATCAGCATTGCCTTCATTACGCACTCTCTCCATCTCAACTACTCTTCCGTTCTCATCTCTATCAATGGTGTAATATTTTGACCTGCAACCAGTCATCTTCCAAACCCCATTCTCATCAGCATATAAATCTGCTCTATTTCCTAAGGCACTAATATCTAAGACAAATGTCGCGTTTTGTTGAATCCGTGTAGGAACAGAAGTACTGATCATGTCCTCATTATCGCTTTGGCAGTTGAAGAGGAAAGGGATGATGTAGGGGGTTTCCAGAGATTCCAAATCGACGATTTTGCATTTGATGTTTGCATTGTAGAGTTTTAACTTCTTAAGAGGTTTGGCAGGAGATTTTGAAACGTCTATTATGTTCTCTGTCTCGTCATCTTCATCAGTGTCATTGGCCTGTAAAAAAATATTTACAAACAAAATTCATATTTCACAACATTCTCCTAAATTTATTTAATTAATTTAATTTAAGTTTAATTTAAGAGGGATCATCGCTCAGGAACGAAGCAAAAACCCGTGTTCCCCCACCTTGGGATAGCTTCCTTTCAGATTATTAACTTACACTATTGTAGGATAATGTTACTGCTCAAGATAGAATAACATAAATAGCTCCACAAAACCCACAAATTGAGGTAACAAAAGTGAAGTGTTTGCTTTCTCCATTGAAAAGGAGTTCTTAAGTTCACAGAGCCGCCCCTACGACGAGCGACAAAAGATTCAGTCTCAGTCCTCCTCAGAAAAATAAATCAAACATCCCCAGTGTGGGGCCCAAACTAGCAGTAAAATTCCCAAGGGGGGCGGGGATGACTTGACAGTTCAAATGACCCAAAAATGTCCACTCCCTTCCCCATCAGGCTTAAAACCGATAAGTGCATAACTTGAAAACAAAACCCTTGGTAACCAAGCGCTTTGGTTCACAGCATGGAAACAAGGCAAGAAATGCAAAGTAAGGCAACCTACCTCATCCATTGGTATCCTGCCAATAGAAGTATCAGTACTGTCACTGTCATCCGAACTATCGTCAACCTGGCCTTCTACCCCCCTATGAGAAGTTAAAAGTACAATAAATATCTTGTTTTGCAATCTCAATTTTTTTTAATTTCCGGTGTAGCTTGCTTCCTCACCTTACTCTCCCCCCCCTTCCCCCACTGTTTGGTAAAATTCTGAATCTGCCCCTGGTTATATTTTACAGACTGAAATGGACCCATCTCAGATACCCAGAGGGACCAGTGCATGTCATCACATTTTAGCTACTTAGCTACTTAAAACTGACGTCAATTTGCAAAACATGGCCCGCTACCCTTCGAAAGAATAATAGAACGAACAACAAAAATAATAAAAAATAAAAGCAAAAATAATAGCAGCCACTATAGAATTACAGCTTACAAGAACTGCTACACTAGTCCACACTACTGAAAAATATAAGGTTACCTGTTTGCTTGGGTGGCATCTTTACCTTCATCACAGGAACTGCTGGAAATCTCGAGGATCTCGATTTCTCTAATTGTAAAGAAGTTGTAAAAGAGTGGGTTTTCATCAATTGTTAATGTCGATGGCAAACAATTGAAACAAATTAAAAGGGACGAATATTCAACACACAATTACCGGTCATCCATTGCTGAACGGCGTGCTCTGACTTGTGGCCGATGAAGACTGGGGCGAGGCTAAAGGAGAGCTGGGTCGAGTAAAATGGCGAAAATCAAGATGGCGGCTGTTTTCAAGTGTGATCTTGTAGGCAGGTACGCTTCTTCTAACTCTTTTCTCCGTGAAAGTAAATTTGGTTGATTAGTTAGGGTAGTCCGCATGGTAGTCCGCGGACTAGTCCGTAGAGTAGTCCGCGGAGTGGGGTCAGTGGGTAGTCCGCGGAGTGGGGGTCAGTTTTTTCAACTCTCCTGTTTTATTCAGGGTAAACAGAATTTGAAGGATCTATTCTCCCTCTTGTAATTGAAATAACTTTTATTATTTTACTATAAATCTAGGCTTTTCCATTTTGTAGATACCTATCTTCGAGTGTTTAAGAATATATATGGAGATCTATGTAAATAAGGAGGGCAGCCAGGGTTAGAAATTATTTTTGAATGTTGACAGGCCAAACAAATTTAAGCTCGGTCATGTCTAGTTACTAACCAGTCAAAATAAATTATTACCTGCCAAACAAATTTTAGTTCGGTCATGTCTAGTTACTAACCGGTCAAAATAAATTATTACCTGCCAAACAAATTTTAGCTCGGACCGGTCAACAGACAGTAAAAACTCGTAGGTAAGAACCTGGATTTTCCCATTGCATTAACAGGTACGTTATTACAAAAATAGTTATTGGCAAAAAATTTGTCTATTTTCTAAAATGAAAAGGTTCTTATTTTCTGCAGGAAAAAAAACATTGCAGCTTATGTCTCCCAAAGAGGTTCACCTGAATATTTTCCAGGTGTATAGAATTTTTTTTATAGATTTGAGAAAATAAAGATGTGTGTCAAATATTGGGCTAAACAGGTTCTTGTATAGAGCCTGGGGCCTAATTATAACTGGCAAGTTTAGCCAAACAGGTTCCTAAAAACCAGGTTCTTAGTCACAGCTAGGTTTTTACTGTATTGAAGACATTGTACTTTGCAGTAATAGCCAAATTAAGACAAAAATTATGTGATCATAAATGCTCAAAAACTCCTTGTGTTGAGAGATGGGGAAATATTATAAACCAGTTTTGAGTGTGGTTATCAAGTTGTTCATTCATTGGAGGGTACAGTGTAGTAAATAATATTTCCAGGAATATTGTCAAGCTCAGCTCGTTTATTCTTAAAAACAATTCCCCATAAGAGTTAAACCAGAAATCACAACTTTTGGCTCAGTATTGTTCTGACATGTTTTCTTTGAACAATAGGTGTATGTAGGGGTGAGGGAAAATTCTTGCCCAACGAAAGATTTTATCTTATCTTCTTAGCCATGGAAGAACATGAAAGTCAGGTCCTCCAGGTTGAATGTAGCATGGAATGCTCTCTGCGCTGGTGAACAAGAGCAAAGTCACTCAGCAGGTACTGATATAGTTCATGGTAGATGGTATTTATTATAGAATTGCAGAATTGAGTAAAATCACGCATTCTGATTGGTTAATGAAGAGAGGTATTCAGTGTGGAATTGCGAGTTGAAAACGAGGCTAAGGGATGTCTTTTCGCATCTACGTAACAACTATCGTCAAATTGTAACACAACTGCAAAAAAGGTTTTCTACAATGTCATTTTAAAATGTTTTCAAAATCATTGTCACCTTTTGTATATCCTTTCTTAACATACTGTAATGTCACCTGGTCCTCCACCTACTGTTCCAACCTAAACTGTATTTACCTTTTGCAAAAGCGTCTAGTGCGGCTCATAACAAAAGCTCACTATCTAGCAAATACTGCCTCTTTGTTTAGCCAGCTTAAAGTCCTTGACATATTTAGTATTAATTTATTTTCTGTCACTACTTTTATGTATTGTTATCACCATAATCTTTTTGCCTAGTAGCTTTCGTGACTTGTTCTTAAGTAGTAATCTGAAGTCCATCAATACCAAAATTCGACTGGCTTCTCAGTATAGACCTCATTTTTGTAGATCAAATATAAAGCAATTCAGCATCCTTTACCGAGGACCTAAAATCTGGAATTTGTTGCCTGTTTCACTAATTAGCTCTCCTTCTATATTTGTTGTTAAAAAAAATTTAAAGAATTATCTCACTGATAGCTGATCTGTCGCTTAATTTTCTGATCTTGCTCACTCTGCACTCAGCCATGAATTTAGTTCTCTGGGTAGTTGAAGGAAGCCTATTAATATAAGCTTCAAGCTTCGTTAGACTTCCTTGTCACATTAATTTTACAATTTCATTAACACCTTTTGTTTATGTTGTATAAGGTTTTGTGAGTGACTAAATAAATAAATATTTAAAAACAAACAAAAGCATTTTTTAAAGTGATCCGGAGGTTCTTCCTTGTTTTGAACTAAACTACAAATTCTTGGAGAGGTATAAAAAACCCCTTTCGCTAGCGACAATGAGAAAACAAGAAAATCCTGTGAACACAGCCCAGAAAATGGCAAGCCAAATTCAAACAAACAAAACGGAGAAGCGACAATGGAGGAAGTGCCAGGGTCAATTGTCACATATACAGAAGAAGAAATAAATACCTTCAAAGATCACATTGTCCCTGAAAACACGAAAAAGAGTACGCCACTTGCATTCATCCTGAATCGTGGTACTTAGAAAAGTACAAAACAGAGCTGAACTTGAACAGCATTTTTAAAACATGTCAAGGTACTTACCTTATATCAATCGCAACGTTAAACTTTCAGTGCTTTGCCTTGGACACTTCATTTCTTTCAGTTTTGCTACCGAAGAGGTAAAAGGTGTAAATTATTTTCCTTCGCGAGCAAATGACCAATTTGAAAAAGGATGTTATAGATAACCGGCTTGTAAATTCAGTGAAATACCTCTATTTATCCTTACAATTAGTGTGAAGCTTGTTCATGTGTAAAAAAGTTTGAAAACAAATGTAAAAACAAGCACAAGGAACAAAAAAAGTTGTCAAAGGTTCAAACGTGTATGACTGACCTTGCTTCCTATTCGCTAACGCAATGAGAGGTTTGACATTTGACTTTGAAATGGCTTTCTGGGGCGCGTGCTCAGGATAAAAACTATCAATATTATTGGTGTTTTCTTTTTTTTTCTGATTTTTATTTGATTATGCGATTCAAGGAAAATCCATTACCTGACTCGTGAATACCACGTTAAATTGCACATGAAAACCGATATCGGTTTTCGTGTGCAATTTAACGTGGAATTCCCTCGTCGGGTAATGAATTTTCCTATAAAACTTACTAATATACGTAGAAAAATTTCTTGAATCAGATTGGCTTAGAGCAGTGCAGTTTTTAGTAAACACAGTACAAAAACAAGGAAACATAATGCAAAAATAAGGAAATAAAGTGCGAATTTCTCAGAGAATGAAAACCTGTGATTGGCTAATAAACAATCAGTGTTCTCCAGAAGCGCGGGCAACTGGCAGTTTCACTGGGAACTCTTTTCTAAAGTGCCAGCTACTCTTAATGAGTCAAAACATAAAAAAAAACTGTAACTTTTATCTTCAATTTTTCGTAAGTTTTTTTCCGCGAAGGATAAAACGGCACCCGAAGCAAATCGTGTTAATTCATTTCTTAGAATACTAGAACATGCAATTTCAGCGGGAAAATAACAAACAAACAAAAAAGCCACAAGAGCTTGTTTGAAAGTTTATCGAAAAACACATGAAAATACATGGAACTAAAGTGCCTTGAACAGCTACAAAAGAAGACAGGTGTTGTTTATTCATGGTTGCGAAGCCACTCGCTGAGGCACTTGCCGATAGATAGCTGCGGCTTGTTTATCCGACATGAAGAATATAAATCACAAGCAACCAGAATACAGGCTATGCAGCCATTCACTACAGCAATTGAGGCGTCAGTAAAGCTTCTTTTCTTGTTCAGCAAAACCAGCTTGTGGCTTCAAACAACGTCATAACAAGCGACCAAGGTAATAGTTTTTCTCCGTTGTTCTTACTTTTGTAACTGCTCCAAAAATCCAAATTCACAGTAATTTTGATGGCTGTTAAGAATTATTTTTCTTCACATTATCTGCCAGGTTTTTTTAGCTGTCCCGCTGTGTAAAATCCTAGAATCTCGATGAGTTTTTAAAAGTGTTCATCTTTACAATGTTTTGATTTTTCATTCATCCAGTCCAGGCGAGTCGGTTCACGCGTTGACAGTTCTGATAGACATGTGACATGTGAATAGCCGAACTCCCTTGTCTTTTGTGGTTTGTGCTAACAAGATTCAAAGGGATTTTGTGGGCGTTTTTAAGTAGCGCTTCGGCTGAGGCGGAAAGAGAAACCGGCACCGGAATGTGAAGAATGTCAGCAAGCGATCGCAGCTTAATTGGCTTATTTAACTAAAATGGAACGATCTGATTGGTCAGAAGTCATTTTTTCCCGAATTTTCTACGGAAAAAGACGATTGCAAGTCAGAAATATCGAACAAAGGAAAGGTATTGTTCTGACCTATTGTTTTTCACTTTGTCGGGAGATTCGGATGTGAGCGAACAAGCGTACGAGGATTGGACGATCGTGTCTCGTATTTCACAGCACGGCCGCCATCGTGATCACACTCGGGTTGCACTAGTTCCTTCTTTTCAAGTCGTTTTGCTCGCTCATAATTGTAAATATATTGTAAATACGTTTCTAAATAGTAACAAAAAGTTGAAGTGGTTGATTTTTTGCGGTCTTCTGAGCCTCGGTATCGTTCGTCATGCCGTTTCAAGCCGTTTGCTGCTGTCCTCGTCACAATGAATGGAAGCATGGAAAAGTAAATGGTGAGCAATTGCGTCAGTGTACCCGCGAGGAAGCGAGCGTCCTCAACCTTGCTAGTGAAGACCCAAAGAACAAGGGGAGGAAAAGAAAAATTTGTGTTTCTTGCCGTTCAAGGCTGCACGCTGAAGTCAAGTGCCAGAAACTGGAGGTAAGGTTCACACCTTCTTTTGTTCACATTCAGTTTATGCCTTTTTGAATTTGTTTTGTTCATAAGTTATCTTTGAAACACTCCGCGTTGGTTATCGGTAAAGCCCTCTCGAATAATAAGTCCTTTTATGTTTGTCGCGTAGGACTCTTTTATTTAGACATTTTCACGGGCTTTGGTTTATTTCAATTGGCATTTGTGGCATGTGTTTTTGTCACACGTGCACCTCCTCTACATGCGTTTGACAGAACCCTCCCAAACATCATTTGTATGGTTTCTGATGGAGATAGATTGAAAAACGTTTTTATTTATCAGTGAATAGTATTTGTAAAGCTTGTATACTTTGTCAATTAAGATTTATATGTAACTTGCTGACCATCAGTAAAGCCTGTTATTTTTTCTTAGCAGCTTAGGGTAAACATCAACAGAAACACATACCGTAAATGATCGATTAAGCGCCGCGACGCTTATTTTATTTTCTACGTAAAGGTGTAGCACTTATTCGAAAGCTGCCCTTATTCGAGAGCAGCACTTATTTAAAGCACGGACGAAACACCGAGAGGAATATAGAGAGAACTCAGAGTTGTGCAGGAAAAAGGACAAAGTGTACACCACGCTCCATCATATGAACCCAGTGTCAAGAATTTCCCAACACAAAACACTTAAGAACTCACGAGTTGGTCATGGTCTTATTTCTTAGAAAAATGCTATTGATATATAAAGGTGGGGTGTTCTTTTGTAAATACCCAAGTTAGAGCCACAGCACCTAATTGAGAGTGGCACTTGTAACATTATTCACGGTAAAGGTGCGGCACTTATTCAAGTAGCGGCGCTTAATAGATCATTTACGGTAAACAGCCCAAAGTAGACTTCATGACAAATGTTCCTTATTATTATTACTGTTATGTTGACCTGTTTCACTTGAGGCAAAAGTTCTGCATGCATACATGTTTCGACTCTGTTATAATTGTTGTTTGTAAAATGTATGCCTTTACTGCATGTCTGGAAATCTTGCATGTACAAAAGTACATGTAAGGTCTTGTTCCAGCTTATGTTTGTTCTTATGTTGTGAGACATATGCAGGCGAGAAAAAATATATTGAAAACCAGTCTCTTTTGATGGAAACAAATATGAGTGTTTTCAACAACTTCAATTTGACTACTATGCATTGGTGAGCAGTCCAGTTTATGTACATTTCTCAGAATACTGTCTCTGCCACATTAAGTTTGTCCCTTAGTTACTTGTTTCACTTCAAATAATAACTGTTAACCCTTAACAATATTTTATAATCTTTACTCCTTGGATTAAGTGCTTTCTGTAATCCCTGGGTATTCTTTCTTTACTTAGGAAATTTGTACAAGGGCTCAATTTGGAAGTAGCAATGCAAGTACTTGCAATGTGGGGGATGTGCCTGATGAAGTTGAAGCCTCAACGTCAGGTGACAGCGTAAGCACATCCTGTGTGGCAGATGTCCTTCATGAGAGTGACATATTAGAAGTAAGAGCAGAACCAACAGCTCACATTCCGGCCTCTTCGGTTGCAACTTCTTGTGACAGAGGCACTCAAAAGCCCCCAGTACGCCAAGTACCCTACAAGGAGTTGTCCGACCGGGCACAAAGGCTAGTCAGGGCTGACGTCATTGAGTTGATGAAAGATGAAATAATGAAAACTGTTCATTTTGTGCCAGAAGATATGTCAGAATTTATGAATGAATTACTTCAAAACAGGAATTTCCGTTCAGTATTTGGGCTTGATGTGGACAATCAAGACATTTGCAATAACCCGACCATGCAATCTCTTGTAAAAGAGTATAGAGCTTGTATGGACAAAGAAGAGAAAAGAGAAGCGAGAAGGAGGTCCTTAAAACAAACAGGCAAAATTTGCATTGGTAATTCACTTAAGGATTCACGTGTTACTCTCACAGGTGAAAAAACACCAGAGCACTTCAAGGACAGGGTTAGTGCTGCAAATTCCATTGGCAGACTAACTTGTTATGCTGATGAGAGACGAAGACTTTTGTCCATTGTTGCCATGGACTATCCGTACAGCATGTTGCAAGAATTGTTTCACTGTTCTTCAAAGACAGTAGCGGCGGCAAAGGTCCATTGTATTTTGTTTGGCTGTGGTGGAACCCCTCCAGCAAAATTCAAATTTACAAGACAATGTGTCAGTCCTGATGTGCTGATGGAACTGTCTGAATTTTTCAATAGAGAGAGTGTTTCAAGGCCTTCTTCCTGCAGAAGTGTAATAACAGATGGCCAGGAAACACCTGTCAGGTATTGGAAGGACAATGTTAAAGAGATTGTCAACCAATATCTCCTGGAATTCCCCAATGGCGTGAAGCGCACTTTTATTTACACACACCTTCCACCCAATTTCCGCTACAACACCATGCTTGCAGGGCTTTGCAATCTCTGTGATGAGTTTGGACATTCAAATTTTGAGAAGTTTATGACTTTGCTTGGCAGTGTCGAAAGAGCAACAATGGTGTCTGTTAAGGATTTGAGGGAAAAATTGTTGCAGCACCAACGCTTCATGAAGACCCAGTTTGCCCACCAGGTGCAGAGGCATTCTCCATGCTTAGAGCTCTGCATGACCAATGCATTTGCCTCCTGTTCGCATCCTCATGACAGGTTTTGCCCAGATGCTTGTGCATTTATGATGTTTACAAGCAAGTGCAGATGCTGTTGTCAAGTGTGCCAAGTGGACAAGACTGAGACTGAGCATGACTGAGTAAGGACGTGTGATTGTTAGCTCCGTAACTTTTGTTGCACTCTTCCATGCGTTCTGATATTTTTTATGGAATTTTCATCGCCACTTTCATCTCTGTTTAAACGGAAAACGAGAAGGAGTAATTCACCGACCAGCGAGACCATTTCCCCCGAAACGAAGCGGTTGAAAGAGAGTGTGAAAGAAGACCAAGCGAACGCTCCACCCGCCATTGTATCGCCACCAAAGTCGAAGAACGATTGTGAAGACGTAGTTCTGTCTGCCCTCAATATGGCACAAGATTTCGCCTCCAAAGTGGACCTAATATTATCAAAGTTAAGTCAACTGGAAAATATCGGCACACAAATAAATGTTTTACAGGACTCTGTGGATCGAATAAATCAAACGGTCGCAAACCTTCAAAGCGAATTCCACCGCTTAAAGGAAGACGTACGAAATACAGTCGAAGAAACAAATACGCTTAAAACAAGCGTAAAATTCCTGAATGATGAAGTGGAAACTAGCAAGAGAAAACTCAGAGATGACGAAGAGAAGTCACGACAGGAGCTGGATCACTTGCGTCTCCAACTCTTAAATTATGAAGTGTACAGCCGCCGCGAAAATCTTCGTTTCTACGGCATTCCAGAAATCGAAGGGGAAGAGAATACTGAACCCGTTTTGAAAGCTTTCTTGGAGAAAGAGTTAAATGTGGAAAACGCTCAATCTATTGAGTTCCAAAGAGTCCACCGCGTCGGTAAAAAGGACCGAAACACAAGAAAACCCAGGGCCATCATAGCACGCTGTCTTCGCTTTAAAGATCCAGAAAACCTCTTTTCTTGCCGACGCAACATCGATAGCCAGTCGAATTTCGGTATTGGCCCTGATCTACCTAAGCAGGTGATTGATATGAGGAAGAGGCTTATTCCGAAGATGGTACAAGCAAGAAAAGATGGAAAACGGTCAGCCTTCAGTAGAACAGAACCCTATAAACTCTTTATTGACGGTGTGGAGGTAAAATCATAAATAAATAGGTTCCAGGTTATTTATTTTTAGAATTCGCAGGAAGTAGTTCACTTCTTATTTTTTTCGTTTCTATTGGGAGCTATCGATTAGCATATTCCTTAGTTCTCTTCTGAAGTTCGATTTAAACAAAAGTATAACACTTGATCTCGTCCAGGCGTAGCTTCAACAGTTTAATTCTTTACACTGGCTACGCTTTTCATCTCGTTTCTTTTGTTTTGTTATGTATGTTATTCTATATTTATTCAGTTTGCACTTGACAAAATCAGGAATGCGTTAATTGTTCGAGTAACAGTGACCCTTCTGGGAATAACAGCTACTGTTGTTGTCTTTTTTCCACTACACGTATGCAAATTTCAATGGATTTCAACAACTTAAAGTTTAAAAACTCTTTCGCTGAACGTTCGGGGTATCCGTTCTTTTGAAAAACGTAAGTCCATTTTCAACTGGCTATACAAGCAAAATTCAGACATCTGCTTTCTGCAGGAAACTTACAGCACTGAAGAGATTGAAAATCAATGGAAAAAGCAGTGGTCCGGGGACATTTACTTTGCTCATGGCTCTAACCATAGTCGTGGGGTCGCCATCCTTATACGCAAATCCTTTGACTTCAAATTGAAATCAATTCGATCGGATGAGGATGGGAGGTACCTCATTTTAGAGACAACTATTCAAGATGTTCCATTCCTTCTGATAAATATTTACGCTCCCAATACCACTACTAAGCAATCGTTGTTCTTCCAAACATTGTCTGAGCTTATCTATGATGAGGGATACAATGATTTTGACTACAAAATTATATTAGGAGGGATTGGAACGTAACTATGGACCCAGACCTAGATTGTTCGGGTGGAAACCCTGTGTTAAAAGACTCAGTTAAGTGTGTGGAGGACATTATGCTGAATTATGATTTAGTTGACATCTGGAGAATCCGTAATCCTAATAGCAAGAAATTTTCTTGGAGACAAAAAAGCCCAATTATTCAAAGACGCCTTGATTATTGGCTCATTAGTGACCTATTACAAGATGACGTAGCTAAAGTCGACATAGTGACAGCTATAAGAACGGATCACCATGCAATAACTTTAGAAATTGACAGTCTAAATGATCAGCAGCGTGGCCCATCTTTTGGAAGTTCAATAACAGTCTCTTGGATGACGCTTTTTTCGTTGAGCGCGTTACGCGAGAACTTTCCTAAGTGGATAGACGAAATTAATTTTTTTGCGATGATTCGAGAATTAAATGGGACTGGATGAAATACAAAATTCATGGGGAAAGTATATCGTATAGCAAACTGAAAGCTAAAGAAAGGAGAAATAGAATTCAAACAATTGAAAACAGGCTTAAAATATGTGAGGGAAAAAAATAGCAGAATCACCGACGCAAGAAAACCTTGCCAACCTCGAATCGGTCAAAAAACAGAATACGAACAAGAGTATGATTACATTGTAAGAGGCTCAATCATTCGTTCCCGCGCTACATGGTTTGAACAAGGGAAAGAAACAACAAGTATTTTCTAAATCTGGAAAACAGAAATAAAAAAAAGCTGCATACGGAAACTTATTCGAGCAAATGGAGAAGAGACTACTGTTCCGGACACTATTATGACTGAAATTCACAGTTTTTATTCTGAACTTTATGACGAAAAAGTCGGGAATACAAACTGACTATTCGATTTGTCCTTTTCTGGAAGATACCCTCTCATCTCCTACGTTAACCGACTCAATGCGGGAAACGTGCGAGGGTCAATTAACATATTCGAATGTTTCAAGGTTCTGTCTACCTTTAGTAACGATAAAACTCCTGGAAACGATGGGCTCACTATAGAATTTTACAAGTTCTTCTGGTCAGAAATCGGAACATTTCTAGTGGACTCATTAAATTATGCGTATTTTCATGGTGAATTATCACATTCGCAAAAGCAAGCCGTAATAACGTTAATTGAGAAAAAGGACAAAGATAGGAGATGGATTAAAAACTGGAGACCGATTTCTCTGGTAAATGTTGATGTTAAAATTGGCTCAAAAGCTATCGCTAAAAGGCTAGAAAATGTCCTACCACATATTATCCATTATGACCAGAATGCCTTTGTAAAAGGACGAACAATTTTGATGCAACTCGTACGATAACCGATGTGTTGGAATTTACTAAAATGCGAGACTACCAAGGTATAATGACTGCAATTGATTTTGAGAAAGCCTTCGATTCTCTAAATTGGAACTTCCTCCACAAATCGCTAGAGTTCTTTGGCTTTGGAGAATCCTTCTTGGGGTGGATCAAGACGTTTTATAATAATATATCAAGTTGTGTTTTCAATAATGGTTTTTCCACCCCTCTTTCAATGTTAAAAGGGGTGTTCGCCAGGGCGACCCACTCTCGCCATCTCTTTTCATAATAGTACTTGAATTATTGGCATTATCCATACGTAATAACGATCAAATTAAGGGTATTGAGGTGGATGGTTCCGAAATCAAATTAGTTATATTCGCTGATGATATGACATCATTTGTTAGGGACAAATTTTCGCATCGCACCCTTTTTGATACTATCGATCTGTTTAGTACATACTCCGGATTGAAGGTCAATCACGACAAAACAGAAATTCTTCTACTAGGAAATATGGAAGTAAACAGCTCAGAACTAGGTGTTAATGAAATAAGTAAGGCCATAAAGATCCTAGGGGTTCATTTCACCTTTAATCACGCACTGTTTTATAAGCTTAACTTTGAATCAATCGAGAAATCTCTGAGAGGATTGCTGAAGGGCTGGAGCTGGAGAGGTCTTACACTACTTGGAAAAATTCAAGTGATCAAGTCTTTCGCCATACCAAAGATTTTATACAGGGTTGTTCTCATTTCAAATAAAGAAGAGTTTATCAAAAAATAAATACTTTGCTATATTCCTTTGTTTGGAAGGAAAAGATAAAGTAAAGCGCAGAGCTTTTATTAACCCTATTGATAAAGGAGGCTTGAAAATGCCCAACATTGAGTCAATGATCTCTGCCCAAAGAATAATTTGTATTAAGAGATATCTCTCCATTGATCCCGCTGGCTGGAAGTTTTTTTCTGAATTTTTATCTTAAGAAAGTAGGGGAAAATTCTTGTTTCATTGCAATTTTAACTACACTAAACTACCGGTAACTCTTCCAGAATTTTACAAAAAGAATGCATTGTGGCGTGGACCCTTTTAAATGAAGACAACCCCTCCTCATCCTCTGAAATAGCAAATCAGGTCATATGGAACAACCAGTTCATTTGCATTGAATCAAAGTCAGTCTATAACAGTAGGCTGATTGATCTTGGAATTGTAAAAATTGGAGACCTCTACGACACGTGGGGAGGTTTCAAGTCGAACAAGGAACCATTATATTCAACTCTTTCACCAGTTGAACATTTTCTACTTTTCAGTCTCTTCAATGCTTTTCCTGAAGAATGGCGCAAAATATTAAAAACAAATAAAAACTCATCTCTTCAAAAACTCATGATCTAATCCAAACTGATTTCAAGTTACGTATTGAAGGGAAAAAAGTCAATTTCCAAAATCTTAAATCAAAGTCATTATATGACAGTTTTGTTTCTAAGATATCCAGTATACCAACAGCGCAAAAGAAATATAACAAAACTTTCAGCACACACACATTTCAGTTGGACTGGGAAAAGATATATCTACTGCCCTTCAAAACAACATTGGATACTAAATTAAGAGAATTCCAATATAAAATATTAAACAGGATCTTATACACGAACAAGGTGCTGTTTAAGTTCAAAAAAGTAGATTCTCCCTTGTGCGATTTTTGTGAAAAGGAGTTGGAGACCATAGAACATCTCTTTTTCCATTGTACAAAAGTAAGCATGTTTTGGAATGATTTAAAGTCTGTACTTGATTCTTTTAATATAACTATTAGGTTTGATATCATGAATGTCCTTTTTGGGATCTTAGATACAGATAATATAAGCATTCTAGTCAATTACATCATTCTTGAAAGCAAATATTTTATTTACCGCTGTAAGTTAAATAAGGGCTCTTTATGTGTAAGACTGTTAGTCGATAAATTTAAAAAAACGTTTCAAACTGAACGTTTTATCGCGAAAAGAAACAACAAAATCCATTTCCATGATAAAAAATGGAAGCCGTTACTCCCATTAATACAACAGTAGCTGTTATCCAAACTTCGTTTTTCTAATACTCCCTGTATTACTCTGTATTTTAAGTTCAAGTCGAATAAGTTATGTAAGCCTTGTAGTGTAGTGCAGTGTAGCTTTTTATTTATTTATTCTATTTTTTATTTATTTATTTATTTTTTGTAATTAAGGTAGTTGTTGTAAATTTTGTAATGTTTGTATGTTTCGATCTGTATGTTGTTTGTACTATACCTGTAAAAAGAAAAAAAAAAAAAAAAAAAAAAAAAAAAAAAAAAAAAAAAAAAAAGTGTGCCAAGTGCAAGTGAACAAGATTGCCTAAGGAAAGAAGTGGATGATCTGATGCAAGTTCATACTCAATACACGGCACATCTGTTATGGACACGTCATCAGGGAGAGTACTATAAGTACATTCTGGACAACCTGCAGGCTGGTGAAGCTGTTGTAGTCGTCGACTACAAAATGAAATTGGAGTTAGGTGTTAGAAAACGAGAAATCCAGAGAGACTGGTATGGGAAGCGTGGAATTTCCCTACACGGCTTCCTTGCCATTGCTCAAGTTAGTGAAACAGAGAGAAGAACAGAGGTGATTGATCTCTGGAGTGAGGACAGAGTGCCATGGACGTGTGCTTTCGCTGGATGGAGAAGGAGTTCCCTGGCTTTCGAGTATATTTATTTTCTGGTGAGTATTCATATTAGTAATACTATTTACATTTGTATAGGTAATAGCATGATTTGTAGTGATATTTGGCATAAATACCACTAGTCATCAAAATTGTTGTACATAATTTTGAGACAATTTTGAAATATCACAAGTGATATTTATGCCAAACATCACATACAGATCATGCTATTATTTGTTTATACTACTACCTGCAAAAGGTTTGTAATTTTCACGTGTAGGCATTTCAAATTAAGCTGAAATACCACTGCTCTGAGCCAATTAAATTGCCGAAATTTGTCTTGTAGAAGTATAAAGAAAGGAAATACAATATTGTAGTATAGTAGTAATTTGTATCAGTTTGGAACAGTGAATGGAAAATACACTACAGTAATCAAACTGTAAAACATTCCTTGTGTCTTAATCAGCTATAACTTCCACCTGAGTTATTAAAAAATTCCCTATGGGATACATTGTATCTACGTCTAAAGGAACTGTCACTCCTTTACAACCAAGTGAATCTGCAGAATCTGCTTTTGAGTATCCATTGCATTCTTCTAGGTCTATTTGGGGCAGCACATTTCTTTGGACTAAGTGTTACTTGGACAAAAGGGATTGTGGACTCAAAACACAAGCTATAAAACTGAGTACCTAATATTGTGAAAATCTTTTTGTTATTTAGACAATGGCCCACACTACCACAATAGAGGGTTCATCCTGTATTTCGCAGAAGTAAGCCAAGCATTCCAGCTGACTTTGGTGGAGTATAACAATTTTGAGGCTGGTGAAGGGAAGTCAAAGCTGGATACCAACTTTGCCCATATCAGTCATAAAATTGTTCGATGGGTCAGAGTGGGTAACAATTTGGAAACAGGCAGTCAATTGGGAGACCTTATAGGGGTATGTATATTTGACTTGTGTAGCAACTCTCTAAAAGCACCCATCATATTTTCCAATGTTTGAATTATGCCATACCCTCTCTCTTTTTTAAGGGGTAATCCTTCCCCTCCCTCTAATTATGTTCCCCAGTTATGAGTATATTTTTGGTTAGCATTCAGTTGTTATTTTCTTGTGTGCATTTTTTTGTGTAAATGTCTGTATTAAACCTGCAATGTTCAACACTTTGTATGCAACACAATGTGATGAAATTTGGAATAATACAGTGACACTAAAGCTTACAACTTACAAACACTTCAAAGATACTAAACCATGAAAGTAGAGCTTCTCCCCAGTGTAGAAAATGATGAAAGTGTTAGTAACCGTATTGTACAATTTTTGTCAGCCAAACCCAATTTCTTTATTATCATTTTTCTTGTTTACTTGAGTAAACTGCAATGGTCACTTCAAAATAATTACAATAAATTAATTAAATTGTTA